GCTTCGCTCGCTGAGAAACTCTTGAGGTCGACCTGTAGCAAATCTACAGAATACCCTGCCTGGATCCTAAACAACTTGCAATGATTTTCACGCTCAGCCTGGCTCGTCTGCAGGTCAGTTTCGTATTACACCACTTTTCCTGATTGGGTAATCAAATGGTTCCAACCGAGCTGGCAAAAGTGGGCGTCATTCAAAACTCATAAGAAATGTGGTAGGCGGGGTTTTCCCTAGCGGTTTCGCCGCTCGCTTCGCGTGGCGGCACCGTCGACGAGAAAGGATCACGGGCACAAGAATCCCGCCAGCTACGCAGGCTACTAGACCATTACTTAATTAATATGACCTCATTTTTACCCCCACAGAGAGCATTATGGGTATACTACCACCCTTAAACACTCGGAACACCCGTTTTCGGCGGCAGGCGCAAAAGGTGTTCACGTGACCTGGATGTTAGCATCGTTTACGAAGTTTCTTAATCTTGTGTCCTTCACCGGACCCATCTCCCCTAAGATTGTGCAAAGAGATGACAGTGTCACTTTCAAGGTAAGCTCTGATGTCGCTGGCTTGAACCCCTCCGTCGCAAAAGCTTGTTAATTTTGTCTAGCTTTATCTTAATCCATGACAGTTATGAAACATAGAATAAAGATGATGTGAACTGCGGGAATACAACTCTAAATGATTATATGACCATCACAATCTAATCGTGATAGGAACTTATTTTTGCAGTTCACATCATCTTAATTCCATTCCATGTTTTATTAATTCCGTTCACGGGTCTCATTCCAGCTGAATTCTGGCTGCAGCGCTATCCCAGAGGTCAGGGTTTGAAACCTGAATCGTTTCAGCCTCTGCAGTTGAATCTTTAACTGCGATGATCTTTGCATTTATATCTTCATTTCGCAGTTTGCAAAATATGAATTCATAATAACTGGTAGTAAATGTAAAAAGGGTGCCAAATGTAATACGAAATTGGTGCCAAATGTAATAAGGGTCACAACACTGAAATAAGAAATGGGTCACAAGGGTCAGCTGATTATGTACTATGGTTGGGGATGGGTCACAAGTGTAATAAGGGTGGCAGTTGTATCAATTAAGGGATGAGTCAAAAATATTATAAGTAGTTGGTCGTGTTCGTAAATGTTCGTGGAATACATGTTAGGGGCTTCATTCATTGATATAACACAAAATCGGGCAAAAATTAATTGTAATTAATATGATAGGTGTTATATCCACCAAGGGGTAAATTTCCTCGGGCAATACAACTTGCCATGAGTACTGTTTCTTGAGTAGGAAAGGTGCTTTAAACGCTTGCCATTATTAGTGACCACAATAATACCCAATACTATCACATTTGTGAAATCTAGCCACATAGGTCATAAACTTCAGCTTTCTTTGTTACATAGTGGAAAGTTGTCCTTGTGTTTTAAGCTTGACAAATTGGACTGGGGCGCTGAGTTCTCTTTCTCCTTCAAAGTGGAGTTTGATTCAGAAAGAAGTTTGAAGCCTGCTAACTACAGCATCGTCACGCCTGTTCAGCTACTTTACTATGACGAGTACAGGGAGGATGACGCCGGGGTGGTAGTAAGCAAAGGACAATACTACAGTCACCCGCTGGATAAAGTTGCTTTTGATATTGAACTTCCAGGTTATTGCTGTGTAAAAAAATACGAAACGGCAAACTGATCCTTACGGTAAGGCGATGAAGAAGTAAACAAAAAAATAAAGCAAAAAATACACATTTAAGCAAATTGCTCAATATTTCGGTTTGAAAACAAAGTAACCTTCTTCAGAGGCTAAAAAAAAATGAAAATAAGACTAAAAGTTCGTTACAAATAAGAATTTGAAAATGTGACAATAAAAACCATGGATTGTTATTGGTATGAGAGACTAGGTGGAATCGTATATCAGTGAGCTTCGTCACGTCTATTTATTCCTAGAGGAGATGTGTTCACCTTGCCGTAAGGATCAGTTTGCTGTTTCCTCATATTTTTCTACAAGTTTAATTCTACTGACCAGGTCTACAACTGGGAGATCCGGCACCACTCATTGGTTTGTTGCTGTGGACTTGCTGATATTTTTGGTATAATTTGGAATGTACAATGGGTCAATTTGCAGTTGTATACTGAGCCACCTAGCTTTTTGATAGGAAAGTGCCACTCATATGTACAGAAGAATATGATTTACATTTGAAAAACTAACTAATAGGATGCTATCAAAAAAAGGAATTTCCAGCCTTGCTTTCACTCAAGGCCAGGATATTCAATACACAAACTGCAAAATGGCCTATTTTCTACATGGAATTCTTTTCAGAACTAAGGACCTCATGCAGGACACTAGGAAAAAGGTACCCCTGTTTGTAGGCCCTCCATTTAAGTCGTCTCGTCATTATATACGGCATTTAACAAATTAAAATCATTCAACCATAAGATGCGTCGGTTCAAAATATTTTAGTGAAAAGCCCTTTAAGATACATAAACTCCCTTTCATTTAACTCAACTCAAAGAATTTCTACCCTTGCAAATACCCAAAGCCTGAAAAATGTATTCCTTTCGGGCAGAGCCTTCCCATATAGGCCCTTACAGGTGGTATTCCCCGGGTTTAAAACAACATTTCCCTATTTTCAAGTCGTGAACTCGCCAAATCAAGTTTCCCTTACTCGCAGTGTTTCTTTTAAATTGTGAAATACTGCATTTCCCGTATCCTGAAAAATCCTGTCGGCAACCCTTGCGTGTGTGCCACCCGCCACCAACCCTCGCAAGGGGGGTGGGGTGGGGTGGGGATACTAAACAAAGTTTTATACGGGGAGGTTCCGTCCCGAGGTCCGACCCCTTACCCTTGTATATACGTTAACAGAAAAGGAACCCTTCCCTATAACTTCTATTGGAGCTTATTGGCAAATGGTACCCCTTTCACCTACCTAGTTTAGAACTTTAATTTGTATCCCTTTTCACCGCTGTTGATGTACTGTCGTTAAAGTATGACCAAATAAAAAAAGGTAGAACGAATTTTCTCGACTTTTGCACAGCCATAAAATGCATCTGTTAGCTCTTTTGGGCCTTTTTACACATGAAAATGAGAGATTTCCCAACCCTGTTATATACCTAAACCTTAAAAATGCATGGTACCTTGTTCGGGCAAAGCCTCCTAGTATAGGCCATTATAGGATATACCCTACCTGATACCAAACGTAGTACAGCCAAAGGCACTTTTGATATTCCTTTAGCAATGTTTATGGTACTTTATTATCATTAATACACACCAAAATTCACCACAAATGGGCGACAGAAACCATAACCTTAGAGACCAGTGTCACCAAACAAAGCTCTTACGCGTTTTCTTATTTTTCAATATCAGGCTGTTCGGAGCCTTTGGGAATAAAGAGTGGCAAGATCAAAGACTATCAAATCACGGCTTCTTCAAGCTATCCTGACAGTCGACCTTCAAAAGCTCGTGAAAGTAAGATGAAGGAGTTTATTTTGAGCGCTAGCACAGGGCATTTTAAATTCTGAATTAAGTTTTGAAATTTTACCTGCAGTAAGCATTGAGACCGCCAAGAAAAGTTTTTATTATAATGGCTCAGTTGTGTATAATAATTATTTAGTAAATATGAATTAGTTTTAATTGTTATACTGTACTATTATTAACTTATAGTTACTTAGTTTCTTATTATTTATTTTGAACTTTTTTATTAGTCTTAATTTAGGGCTCCTATTGATAACAGATATACTTTTAAGTATTCTGAAGGGATTACCCTAGTTAAATAAAGGTTTACTACTACTACCTCCGGAATATTTAACAATCATTCTTTTCAATCTCGGTGAATAGTGGCCTTAGAAATATTTACCTCGATTTCAAAGAATAATATTAAATAATCTGCTTAATAGAAGGGTACTCTATGCAACAGCACTGAAAAGATTTTGAAGTTAAGCTACCGTTGGCGTGCCCGTGGAATAAAACGCCGGACGTCAAATTCAGTGGCAGCGGAGGACTTTGTGAATGGAATCTATTCGTTAAATATACAATAAAAGGGGAATGAAACCTGCACGGAAAACAGTTTCAGCGGTATAGAGAGAATTAAAATGTGAACACTTCTTTGTGAGCTCGTGGCCAGCGGGTGAGCGACGGCGCTGGCGCGGCCGCGGAATCTCTTCTCGAGAATGAATTCGCCGATGCTTCGCCGATGATAATTTCCTCTGGGTCGACCGCCGCTCAAAATAACACAACCTGGCGGAAAAAAATCGAAGGCACTAGCGTAGCACACCCCGGATGAAGGGCTGCGAGCAGACGGCCAGAGCGAATAGAACTTTGCATTGGCTGTGGCTGAAAACAGCCATTTGAAGTGTCTGCGGCCCAGTCCATGGATCTCGAGCAGCCAATTAGAGACTGAAAAAATCTTTGCATAATGGCGATGGCCACATAGGACGACCTCATCGATCTGCGGGGAGATTTCACGATGGACGGTTATGTGGAGTGGCTTCTTGAGGACGGGGATGCAGAACCATTTCCTCAAACGGCCACGGATCTCGAGTTTGAGGGTGAGAATCACATCTTTCGCGACGGTGACCTCTTTTGCGATGGTGACATCCTTTGCAGGGATGACATTGTTTGCAACGGCTTGATCGAGCGAGTGCTCTGGTCAAATACTTTGCGCTGGCAGTATCGTTTGCAATGATGAAATAAGTTGCGATTGAGAAATCTCTTGCGTTTGTCAAATCGTTTGCAATGGTCAGCAGATTAATTGCAATGGCGACATCGAATGTGGTGGCAGCATCGAATGCCGTGTTGACATCGACTGCGATGGGTACGGCTTTTGCGATGGATACATCGACCGCGATGTAGACGTCGTTTGAAATGAATATAACGACCACGATGGGGGTCACCGATATTCATCTCCTCAAACCGCCACGGATTTCGTGTGGCCAATTAGAGATTGAAAAAATCTATGCGTAATCGCGATGGTCGCGCAGGACGATCTCATCGACCTGTGGGTGTGTGAATTTACGATGGATGATTATGTGGAGTGGCTTCTACAGGACAGGGATACAGAACCATCTCTTCAAACCGATCGCCGTGATCTCCAGCAGCCAAGCAGAGATTGGCAAAATATGTACGTAATGGCTCCACAGAACAACTTCATCGATCTGAGTGGAGATTTTAACATAGACAATTTTGTGGAGTGGCTTTTGCGGACAGGGATGCAAAACCATCTCAAACCGTTGAACCGATCGCCGCGGAAACAAAGCGCAGGCTTTTGAGCCCACTTTTTCTAAGGGCGTTTCAGCAAAATCGGCCTATGACAACCAAAAAAATTCGGAATACCAAACCCGCAAGGGGATTGGAAAGATTTCATCCCTTTCATTCGATGAATTATTAAAAATCCGAATCGGCGCCAACAAAGTGGATCGGCATGGAAGGACGTGTGGAAGATCCACCACCACGTCATTATGAAGTCTTGACTGCAGATTTTCGGAGGGTGTTGAAGAGAGCAGAGGCAGAAAAATCACAAAATGGCGTTTTTTTAAAGAATGATGTAAACAACGATTTGACTTTAAAGATTATTCGCGGAATCGAAAAAGAGTGAGAAACAGTTTTTTGATCAAACAAATTTATGCATACCAGCTTCGGAACATCGAAGCGAAGGAAACAATGGCCTATTATCAGGACAAAAGAAGCCCCCGGTTTGAAAGAATATCGCAAGCGAGACAGTGGTTGGAAGAACAAGAAGAAAACCGTCTGCAGGGCGAAAAAATAGAGCGTCCAAACACAAAATGGCGTTTTGAGAAGAACCTGATGGTTGAGGTGAAAATTGTAGAGGACCCGCAAAGCACCTTTGCATGTTGGAGCGGGGCGCTTGCCAGATTGGCTTCGAAACAAAAAAGATTTGTTGGTGCTTGTTGATGCGTACGCCGACGAGCTTTGTATTTTCAGATGCATTGAGGTCCATCAAGGAGCGCACCCCGTTTGTAACACAAAAAGAACTCGCGAGTTTGCCACAAGCTTTTTCGACAAGCGTCGAGTTCGACAGATCTACAATGGGCATTTTCCTTTGATCGAAAATCATTTCCAGCGGAGGATTGTGGGATATGAGGTTGACACCGAAAGAAGGTTTGCGTTGAAATATCTGCCTCGCGCTTTAAAAATTGGGGTGCCCCAGATGAACATTGGAATCTACGAAGAGCACGCTTTCTTGATCACGAATCTCGATAAAGTGACGAGAAATTATGCGTTTGCCGAATGTCAAGCAAGATTTACCCAAGCATGCAATCTGCGGCGGCATGCAGAGATTTGTACGAGAGGAGAGACCGAAGTGGTGTGCAGAGGAGAGCGAATCCAGCCGCCCGAAAATGCATATGATAAAGCGTTTTATTCCCAGGAAGCGTATGCGGAAAGGGCAGTCAGTTGGATGGAACACGACGCCCAGTGGACGGGTTTGCATATCTACTATCAAATGTGTGGTCACGGTACGGAAAGAAGACGTGCAGGACATCAAGTGGATGGTTTTTGTACGGAAACAAACACTTTGTTTCAGTTCCATGCCTGCCTTTGACATTGCTGTCCAAGGTGTTTTCCAGGACGGCGAAAAGAAGTGGTCGCTGTCGAAAAAACAAAGCAAGGCAAGAGAGGGCTGACAAGAGAGATGCAGTTTGCGCGAACGTTGGAAAAAAGGCAGGCGATCCTCGACGAGAGTTTCGAGCTGATCGAGTGTTGGGAGCATGATTTCAAAAGAAGACAACTGTATCCAAAAAAGAAAACGGAAACTTTTCCGCATATCATCGTGTTTGATTTTGAGTCGGTGCTGGACACGAGCAAACGCAAGCAGGCGACGAAGTGCCGGTGTCCGTTTTGTCGGCAGACACTTTGGATCGAGCGCCAAAGTACACCAGTAGCAAAGATCCCAAAGAGCGGAGCTGGAGATTCTAGGAGGCGCTTGAGCGTCTGGACGCGGCTATCCGAGAAGGCATTCGGCGATACATTCCGTAGGATTTCGAATTTCTGCCGGAGCAGCAACAAAAGCGTATTTGCTAATGGTGTTTTCTAATCCCAGATTTGGGTTTCAAAACCGGGCGTTATGATTTGAAGCTGATAAAAAAAGTATTTTATGACCCAAGTCGCGCCAGACAGCGATGTTAAAGTGGCCAACAAACAGAACAAGGCCATGTACTTGTCAACGCCGTCGTTCAAGTTTCTGGACATCATCAACTTCATCAGCTACAGGACCAGTTATGATGAAAGGGTGAAAATGTACGGCGCCAAGCTCTCAAAATCGTGGTTCCCCTACAAGTGGTTTGACACAGCCGAAAAGTTGGACTACCCTGGGCTGCTGCCGTACGAAGAGTGGTTCTGCAAGCTGAAAAATGAGATGACTCTCTCCTTAGAAAAGGACTGGGCTTCTCAGCAAATCTGGCAGAAAAAAGGATGCAAACTTTTGCGGATTGGTTGCGCTCTATAACAATTTGGATGTCGAGCACTCTAACGGGGCTTGAATAGAGGTTTAAAGTTGGGAGTGAACGGCTTTTTTTTGATGGCCTAAGCGGGATTTTGCCTGTGAGGCGAGTGACTTCGTTGTTCAGAGCAGAGAGCAGAACAGGAAGCCGAACCACCCATTCGTTTCTAATGAATCCAATGTTTCCTTTGTCCTTCCCGGATCAGCGCTCGTCAGCAAAACGCTGACTCGAAGGTTTCTCCTGTACGATGGAATGTCGTATTTGTTGTTTGTTTGGTTAAATGCCAGGTCCCCCTGCAAAGCACTCACGCTTTGTACGCCGCGCATCTCGTAAAGAATTCTTCTTACCGTGAAATAAACGTGGAAATAACCTCTGGGTCGTTTCAGTAATAATAAGATCATTTGACCTTATGTGGCTATGTTAAACTTGGTTGGCGGCCATCTTGGATTTTTTTCAAAGGGGGGTAGCCTATGATTTGGGGTCCAATTTTCAATTTTCCTCTAAGTTGGTGTACGGTCTAATTGGACCTGGAAATGATGTTGGTGATGTTTTAGAGTGGAAAAAGGCTCTTAGCTGTGAGCTCAACTGCTTTCCACTTTCCAAAAAAATTTCTCGGGCAAGACCACAGTAGCCTGTGGTTGCGTACCATACCGCAAAATTTAACTGCTGCGGCCAATATTCATGTTTGGTTCTTCCAGCCACGCCCTTGACTCTTTTCCTGGTTTGTGCTTGATTTGGGTGTTTGTGAAAATCTCTCTGAATTTTGCGGTGAAATTCTCTGTTGGCGTGACATATTTGGAATTGACCAAAAAGTTGTAATGAGACGATTCACAAAACGTCTGAATTCTCCAACAAGTTAATTCGTTGATTGCGATTTAATGACAAAAAAAAAAAGAAAATCTTTTAAAAGGGAAACTGATTTCAGATCTTTTGGATAACTTTTCGATCCGTGGAAACGCTTACGAAAAACTTTACTACATTGCACCCCCGCAACATGTATTGCGTGATGTTGATTTTGGGAATGAACATTTGCATAGTTTGACTATTTCTGTCAAAGATGAAAATGGAGACTTGTTTGATTTCAACGGTTTCCGTTTGAAATTTGAGTTGAAAATTAATTTATATAACATATACCATATCTTCATCAAACGTGATGCCAAGTGCACCGCTTGAAAAATGTAATCCAGAGTTGTCACCTGACAACTTTCGGCTGACCCGAATTTGTGAAATTGAGAAAGAACGTTAGAAACCCAAGAAATTGAAAACTAATACAGTAGAGAGGCAAAAAGATATAAAAAGGCTCAAGACGCTACGCATTATATTGCCGTCGGTTTGGGCTCTCTCTCCCTGCCGCTCTCTCGGCCTTTGATCTGGTATTGTCGTAAGCCTAACTGGCCCTGGAATAATTGCAAGCGCTCTCTTGGGGAGCCTGGTCGCTATTTGCTTGGCTAGCTCAACAGGGATTACAGGCCTTGGCGAAAAACTCACCTTCAAAGTCGCCAAACATGAAAATAATTATTCACTGGCCATTTCCGAACGAAATTCAATTAATACCCTAGTTTCTAAAAGTTTGAGTTTTTAAACTTGATAGTCTTACTGTAATCTACGACTTGGTGATCTTGATAAGTGTTTTTTTGACATTCTATTTTATGGTTTGTTTTCCCCTATTTAGCTGAAGACGGCTGGTGCGCTATAGACGAAGACAGCGATCAATATATTCAGATAGATTTCTTTCTTAAAACTCGCGTGACTCGCGTGGGAGTCCTCCGACGTAATTCGAAGAACCATTGGGTGACTAAATACAGCTTACAATACAGCGATGATGACATCACCTGGACGGATTACATAGAAAACGGTCACGTCAAGGTGGGTAACATAGCCTAAGTGGAACGCACGATTTCATCTTGATAGGATTGGGTAATAAGTCGAATAAGTGCCAGAGGTACGACGGTTATGCCACGTTGATGATCCCTAACAATGGCGAAACAACTCTCCATGGATGTTACTACCTGCGCGATAAGGCTTTGCGCATGCGTTACGTATTGGCCAAGCTGTGTGTTGGTTTACGTCACTTGCATTCAAGTTTGTCTTCTTGACGAAGTGCCACCATGTTAGTAGAGCCTTTCTTTGCTCAATTTTGGAGTACCCTAGAAAGACATTGCATAAATCTAATACTTTGTTTGTGCTGCTTGCTGCTGAGATATTGCATTGAACCTTTATAGCCGTGCACCTGCACCATGCTAGTAGCGGTTTCTCCAGTCCGGGCAAATACTCTACGAAAGAAGAGAAACCACTACAAGTGAGCATTTGCTTTTCTATAGAGCATGCGCGTCCACGTGTCGCCTGCTTCATAACGTCAAATGACATCACTTACTCTTTTTCCCAGGAAACATTAGTGACTTTAAGATCTAATGACGCGATGGGAACGAGAAAGCCAAAAAAAACAAACAAACAAAACAAAAAACAACAGGTTTAACATAGATTCATACATACACATTTTATTCGCTCGTCCCCATGGGGCTTTTCAGAGTCAATGTTACAATATTAAAACACATCTGGCTTTGACTAGTTTTCACTGATTTTGGGTTCGTAAAGCGGGAGCAAGTGCCTGGTAGGACGACGTACAGGCAGGCCTGGCCATCATGCTCGATTTAACTACATCAACATTAAAAAATGTTGCGAAATTATATCGCGGGCTCAGTTTGCGCATGCCTACTATCTAGTAATTAGCTCCCTTCGCAGAGTAGCTCGGTATTTCGACTTGTAATTTAATGTGTTCTTACTTAAGTTTTAGGCTTAAGTAATTGTTACATTCAGTGTGCTTAGTACCTTAAACCGTAGTAAATTATGATGTTTGTATGAGGCTCATCCCTTTTGGAAACCAGTTCTTAAGTTAAATTAGGTTGTCGTAATTAAATTAAGTTGATTCATCCTTCCATCCATCCATCCGTCCGTCCATCCGTCTATCCATTTATCTATCCATCCGTCCATTCATCCATCCATATCTATCCACACTTTACTCTAATAGTTTGAGCCACATAATTTTGTTTTTTCTTTGTGAAAGGTATTCAAAGGCCCGCAGGATTCCGATGACAAAGGAATGATCATCCAGTCTCTTCGGCATCCAATCGAGGCTAATAGTATTCGACTGCGTCCGGTGAAGTGGGAAGAGCAGATCTGCTTGCGAATGGAACTGTATGGCTGTGATATAACAGGCTCACCAAGTAAGAAACATACAGTTTACTCGATAGCACATTAACAACTTAAACTAACCACTCCATCTTTTAACGTCGCTGGGCATAACTAATCTCACAGGAACAGGTATTTTGTTCTTCTACAACGTTATTGTTCCATACAGCCCATAAGCTTTCTTGGTGAGCCTACCTTAGAGTCGGAGAGAGGTAGCAAGCTAAGGGAATTGTCTTTATAAAAAGGCACTTTACCAAGAAAAACAACCGTGTTGAAATAGGAAGACGCTGTCGTTTCTTTATAGTGTAATAAAAGCCGTCCATATCAGGGTCTCGGTCATTTCCGAGTCGCCCAAAGCCCCTGTTTTAAAGCTAGGCTTCAAGTGCAAAGCCTTTAATATGAAAAAGGATTTTTTAATCTCATGCAAATAAAACTCATTTTCACATGAAAGGTTTAATTTGCACTCATTTTGAAACTGAGAGTTCAGGTTTTGGAACTCGGAAATGACCTATTGACAGCTGTCAGAACAGACATCTACTGATCGGTACGCGGGCTCAGGTACAGGACCCATCGACGTCACTGATCACATATTTTTATAACTTGTCAGTTCACCCATTTAATAATCGCTGACTGCAGCAAAAACGCGTCTACAAAGTGAAATTCCATTATTTCTCGTTTTTTGGAGGATGACACTAATTTTCGTTTTCTTCTTCTGGACTTGGATACAGGTCTTAAAAGTTCAACTTCGAAACTTTGCTTACATTTGGCAAGTTGGATGAGATGCAACGCATGGTAGCGATTAACTTTGAAACAACGCGAATACATACTTTGTGACGTTTTCGCTACCATGGTGGTTGGTTAAGTTCTTTTGGTTTTCATGGAACTGTAGGCTTTTTCTTTTTTTTTTTTAGCACAACGATAAGAAAAATAACGGTTCGACCAATCATCACTTCTTAAGGGGAATGGATGTTTAGTATCAGTAAATTCTCAAAATTCGATGAAAACATCAGTAAGCAAAATGCAGAGGCAGCGGAGCGTTCTGAAATATGGGGTGCTCATCTTCTAATCTGATCTTCCAAAGTGCCCTTTGCGTTGTCCGTTGGCAGAAGTAAGCCTCTTTGCAATCTTCACAGTGTCTAGAGTGTCCGTAATCGATTTTTGACAATGCATCAGTAGGCAGTTCTGCTTCATGGTGCTTCGTAGGTAGTTCGTCAGTCGTCTGAGGACAGAAAATTTGCGCTCTGAAGTCGCCTATCTCACAGGTATTGTTAAATACATCTGTAAAATTGTTTTATGGCGCCTAAACGTGCCCCCCTCAGTTTAAAGTCCTAAAGACCGTACGAACCGTAAAAATATCCATCGTATGGCGCTAGTCTAAACACGTTAACCTCTTGCTCTGAGGAGACAAAGGGCCAACAGAGGGATGGGCACCCTGTGCAGTAACATCTCACAAAAGATACGCTTTGGCAAACCAGTTCGTGGTAACAAGTTGGAAGAAAGTCCATTAAACACGACAAAAACGGCTAATACCCGGAAAATCTATAGGGAACCAAAACCCCTGGCAGACCTCAGGCTCCGAATCAGATCCGGAAATGAGACGCTGAGGAGGTTCCCCCGACGTCAGTTGAGAGAAGGGACAAGAACCAAACTAAAACACAAACACATA